GGATTGACCATCACATTATAACACCCCCACGGCTGAAAGGGCGAGCATGTTTGGTGTGTTGCATTTGGGTAAACCAAAAATTGAGGAACTAACTCCTTAAACATTGAAACTTTATTGACCAAAAGTTGACATCTACAACCTTCAGCTGGTTTTCTTGACTTATAAAACTAACAATAATCTTTTGAGAACCTATTTAATTCCAGCTCATGGAAACCCGCACCAGATTAATTTTAGATACAGAAAATTTCAGAAAACTCTGGAAAATGAAATTTTTAAAGACTAGAATCAACCCTCTGAAGTACAAAACTTTTATCAAAATGTCTCACAAATACAAATTTTCTTTTATAAGTATTTTGTCAATAAACTTAGAAAAAATTACCTCCACTCTCCAGAAAATATATATATTTTTTTTATTTCAGCCAAATCTGGGTAGTAAAAGTTACTCTTTTTTTTTCTTCTAACTTTAATTCTAAAATGTCAAAAACCTTTCAATATGCATTACAAATTTTTTTTATAGATAGTACAAAATATAGATATTTTAATCAAAGGCAGCAAAGTTTCGCCAATATGTTATAACATATAGCTGGTAGTAGCGTTAAAGACATATATAGCAAAAAATATGTTATTTGTTGATTCAGTAAATGTATTTCCAAAAATAACTGTTTCGTGGGATCATCAAGCAACGTACGTACAGTGTTTATCAACTTAGACTACTGACAGCATTTAAAAAAATACAATTTGGCACTAAAATAAACAACGCGTTTCATTTCGTCTTAAAGAATTGGCACTGGTTCATAATTATTGACTAATAATGAATATAAAGTGAAAAAAAAAAACTTAACCAAAAGCATTTATGTGTTTTTTACTTAAAAAGCTAATACTCTGACTAGAACAACCAACGTTTCTATTTGGCAGCAGTAGCTGAATGTTAAGAATGAATTGTATAGCATTACATTTGTCAAATATCATCTTTTTTTTTGTAATAGGCTAACTTTTGAAAAATTACCTAAAAGTTTCAGGTTTTTTTTTCAGAAACCAACACGTGTTAAGTAAGACTTCTTTGAGTTATTGCACATCGTTACATGAAAACCATCTTACTGAATCACAGCATATTACGCTAACTTTCTAATTATAACATTTTTCTTATGACCTTAACATACGATTCGACAAATTACCAAAACTAGTATAAAGGGCAAGAACAGTTGTATAAGTGTGATATACACACACACTCACAAACATGTATATATAACATTGCTAATTGTAAAATAGCATGTGAATAGTTTTTCATAAGTGGACCGGCACTTGCGTGACTCACTACAATACGTACTTCTTTTCCAATAAACCTACTTCAATAAATTCTTCAAAAAATCCTTACTGTTATCCTATTGTTACCAACAATTGCCCTCTTTAAGCTGTTTAATATGTGCAACAGTGAAACATGATAACCTTGATCATTAGAAGTTGAAGCTAGTTAACTTTGGAGTATCGGGAAGTATTGTACGAGACCACCCAGGCATTGAACTGTACTTAAAAAAATGTATTCATATCATGCTGGTTTCGTTAATTCATAAGTTGCTAGAAATAGTTGCATACCGTCATGCATCATCATTATAACTATCCTTCAATTTTAATGCTCTTATGTGGAAGAGGAAACCTTAATATTTCAATCTAAACAGCTTATCATGTGTCATAAGACATCTCATTTTAATGTTCGAACACAAGTTAAACAATGATTATACAATATCAAGATGCAGCATGAACTTAAGTCTAATTTACTGACAGGAAAGCAAATTGTTTTTTAAAAAATACAGTATCTTAAGCTTGTTACATATGTTGTAATATACACATATATATATATATATATATATAATAAAATAATGAACTTGAGTAATACAAATGATGGAAGTTGGAGCGAACATCGGAGTAAATCATACAATGTAACTTCTATATAGTAGAAATACACACCACACACAGAATAATAAGTTTAAAAAAAAAAAAAAAAACAGAATTAAAAGTAAC